TAAGGATTTTCAATTTTTCGTTGTGCATTTCTTTGTGTTGAATTTGGCATTGTTTGTTAAGGATCATGGCTTTTTTGTGTGTTTGAGCCTCGATCTGAAGGTTTCGTTTGTTCGATTTGTATTTTGAGTGGGACATCAGAGTCCGGCTTGAAATGTCATTGTTCAGAGTAGATCTGGGAACGTGTATACTGTTTTGCTTGTTATTTTTTATACGTTGACTCATATTAGTGCTGATGTGGTTTTGGAAAGAGCTTTTAATGGTTTAAGCATTAACCCCAACACCCATTCCCAAAAGAAATTGGATAGATGGGGAGAGCATAAGAGCCTCTGGATTTTCGTTCTGCTACATTTTTTTTCCTGGTGAAATTCGCCTTTGATCATGGTTTACTGTGTAGACAGTAGTTACAGTGAACTGTAATTTTTGAAGCTGAAATGCGTCTTCTTTCTGGAGATGCTTATTACTCTGAATTGGGTTCGTGGAATAAGGGATGGTAGTTTTTTACTTAAAAGTGAGAGTCTCTAGCATGTCTAAGGAGGTGAATTTACTTCTTCAGAATGCTGCTGTTAATAGTGAGCTTTTTATAAATTGTAGATATATTGCTTTTATCTATTGGATTGTACATTGCCTTTAAAATTCCTGTAAGAACTTTACTTTTTGTTTTTAAAATATTCTTAAGTCCATGCACCTCCAAGGATAGTCCACATTCATGGTTCATCTGTATCTTTTTATCTTGAATCAGTATTTTTTCCATTTTTTCTAACTCGTTTGCTTTTACATTGGGGTGAATGCTAAAGATGGATGGGAATCTCGGTGGGTTAAATCTGATTGGAAGAAAGATGAAAACTTGGCTGGGGAGTGGAACTACACCTCTGGCCAATGGAATGGAGACTCTAATGACAAAGGTAAACAAAATTACTATGTTGAACAACCATGTATTATGGCTGCTGATTTTTTTTGCTTAAAAATTGATACTAAGGTAGGTTCGGATGAATGTTTGATATCTCCGCAGGTATTCAAACAAGTGAAGATTACAGATTCTATGCTATTTCGGCTGAGTACCCTGAATTCAGCAATAAGGATACGACACTAGTCTTCCAATTTTCTGTCAAGCATGAACAGAAGCTTGACTGTGGTGGTGGTTACATGAAGTTGTTGAGCGGGGATGTTGATCAGAAGAAATTTGGTGGGGATACTCCTTACAGGTGATTTATAGATCCCTTTTGTTTTGTTGCTCTCTCGCTATGGATGCCAATAGACATGGTAAAATAGCTTATTTTTTGACATTTGTTGTTCTGTTGCAGTATCATGTTTGGCCCAGATATCTGTGGTTACAGTACCAAGAAAGTACATGCTATTCTGACCTACAATGGGACAAACCAGTTGATAAAGAAGGATGTTCCTTGTGAGACTGACCAACTAAGTCACGTGTACACATTTATCCTCCGTCCAGATGCAACCTATAGCATCCTGATTGATAATGTGGAGAAGCAATCTGGTAGTCTCTACGCTGATTGGGATCTTCTCCCTCCAAAGGAAATCAAGGATCCTGAGGCCAAAAAAGTACTTTTCCACCTACTGGTTTTCTGTTTTAGTTTCGGTTTTGTTATTGATAATTTCTAATCATAATATACTCACAGCCTGAAGATTGGGATGACAAAGAGTATATTCCTGATCCTGAGGATAAGAAACCAGAGGTGATACCTTTTCTAGAAAAGCCTCTTATGTTTGCAAGTGTACTATGTGATATTTACTGACATCCTGTATTTGTAGGGTTACGATGACATCCCAAAGGAGATCCCAGATCCTGATGCCAAGAAGGTAGGTATTCATCAGTTTGATGTTTCCCATTGTTTTATATCTCACATTTTATTATAGTTACTTATTGGGCTAATTGTTGCTGTAGCCCGAAGACTGGGATGATGAGGAAGATGGTGAGTGGACACCACCTACCATTGCCAACCCTGAGTACAAAGGCCCATGGAAAGCAAAGGTTTGTGGAAATTGTAATCTACGACATATTGGCATGTTTTTGGGAATGAATTTGTTTTCTAACTTTGCATGCCACATCTCCGCAGAAAATTAAGAACCCCAACTACAAAGGAAAGTGGAAGGCACCAATGATTGACAACCCAGGTTTATTTTTATCCTTATGACTTAACTCACAATAGCAGTAGTTATATAAGTTTTTTGATAAATAACTAATTTAAGTGCTCTTCATCCACTTAAAAAAAAAAAAAAAAAAAACTCCTCGTTAAACCTGACTAGCGAGTGTGGGGTGGAGGCAATTCTTGTACGCAGCCTTACCCTTGCATAATTGCAAAGAGGCTGTTTTCTGGATTCGAACCCATGACCTTTCAGTCATGAAAGAACAGTTTTACCACTGCTCCAGTTCGCCTCCTTGCTCTTCATCCATTGAATTTAAAAACTTGACTTTTAACATTTGAAAAAAAATATTTATCAGATTTCAAGGACGATCCTGACCTCTATGTTTTCCCTAACTTGAAGTATGTGGGCATTGAACTGTGGCAGGTATACTCTTCATTTTGTTTATTTCACTACATTTGGTTGATCCTTTTGGATCAAAAATCTGACTAGCAAGCTATTAAATTTGCCAGGTGAAATCTGGTACCCTGTTTGACAATGTCTTAATTACTGATGATCCTGAATATGCTAAGCAACTGGCTGAAGAAACATGGGGCAAGCAGAAGGATGTAAGTTGTTTCTATTCATTTAACCTTTTGGCCTGAGTTATATCGTTGAATGATATGATCTCTTCAATAAAAATATGTTCTTACAGGCTGAGAAAGCAGCATTTGAAGAGGTCGAGAAGAAGAGAGAAGAGGAGGTAAATTTGGATTTTGAATGCATCTATTAAATTTATCATTTTATTTTTACTAATTATGTTTGGAAAAACATAAACTTCTCTTACGCATCTCATATTGTGAACTCTTCACCAGGAATCAAAGGATGATCCAGTTGACTCTGACGTAAGTAGAACTAATGATTCCTAAATTTTGGGTCCATATCATCAGTTACACTGATTCTAATTAAGTTCATATCCTCTATAGGCTGATGAAGACGAGGAAGATACTGATGAAGCTAGCAATGACTCCGACGACGCTGAATCAAAGACTGAAGCTGGGGAAGACGACGCTGAAACCAAGGAAGAGGATGTACATGTAGGTTTTTTTCATCCCCTTAATATCACTTGAATCAAGCTTGACAAAGGATGTATATTTAATAAATCTCTTTGCTTCTTTTATTTGCAGGATGAGCTTTAGGGAGTCTGCATAGCGGATAGAGAGTGAGCGAAAGTTATTCCGGAGAAGTGGATGGATGCAAAGCTCTAAGTGCACCATAATTACCCCCCTTTTCTATATATCTTTTTAGTTGTAGTATTTTTCTCCTAGATAAGCGAACCGGTGAAAACTGCAAGCAAAAACTCGAGCTTTTGATCCAATCCCATTTGACTATTTTCAGCTGATTAGAACAGACAAAAATATCTCTTTTGAATTGATCTTTTTGTGTTTCGGTCAATTGTGTTTCCAATTATGAAGCTGCCTCTAAATCTTATAAACTGCTGCTAAAAGATTTTCTTTGTAAATCGTTTTACTGGAATTTGCTGAAAAGTAGGATAACATCCTAAGCTAGTTGAGAGCTAATAGAAATTTTACGTATCAAATAACATGTTGCGAGATTGCCCACCGATGGCTAAAAAGAAGTTAATTTAGACGAGCTGGCAATTAAGTAATCTATCAATTAAGTTAATTTACTCCTCTTTTACAATGTGGTTCATATTTTGCTCTAATAAATTAATTATTTTAAGATTTCTTTCCCCAGTCTCTACGGTAGTCATAGGTGGTAGCCTCGTAGGTACATTTAGGAAAAAAATAAAATAAAAAATCTTGAATATTTTAATGGGTTCATTCTTTTATTTGAGACGGATTTTCGAGATTATCGGTACTTCTTATGTTTGCTTTAGAAATCATTTGTAATCGCTGCTTTAGACTGTTAGTAAAAATGTGTGATTGTGCACAGCATAAACTGAAACTATATATTGAAATATACTGTATCCGTTTGATTTTGACATTTAATTGATTATGGTTTAGTTTCATAATTAAATTTACGGTTATTATTTTAAATCAATTTAAACCAGTTAAAACAAATTAATGCACATAAATACACATCACTGTACATCCATGTACATCAAAATAAATCAATGCATATTCTAAAAGTGTTACCTTACCTACCAAAAAAAAAAATAAGTGTTACCTAAAGTTTGTTTTGTAAATCATTAATAACTTTAACAATATTTATTTTACCTCTCAACGTAAACAAATAAAAAAAAGTATTTAATTTATCTTTCAACTTAAACAAGTAAAAAAATAAAAATATGAAACAAATTTACGAATATTTACAATTTGAGTTTGAATTTTGTATCCGCACTTACATAAGCTTAAGACTATACGATAAACCCTAACTGGCGAACAATCACCATTTAAGATTACATATAGCCGTACAATACTTTTGACAACCGTGGATGGATTGAAAAAATAAAAAGGATATTTTTTTTATATTACAGGAGAAAAAAAAATATATCCCCTACATACTTATCAAAATTATATCTTTATTTTTTATTTTATTTTTTTAAAAGTGTTCACACCACGAATAAAAACTATGAGAATCATTTTTCCCAAAATAAAATTATTGTACATTTTGGGGGGAACGTTAATTTCGATATTAATCGAAAAGGTTGATCAATTAAAGAATGTAACAAATATTTGAAAAGGAGAGAAAGAGAGAGGAGAAGAGGGGGGTGGATATTTACCATACCTGTGAGCAAAATGGTCAAAGTAAAAAACTCAGATGGAAAAACAGATTAGGCTTGTGTTGAGCAGCCGTTGTCAATAGTACAACAATTTATCATTTCTGCTTCTCTAAGAAAAAGTCTATAGCTACTAGCGCCACAAGGCATGCATCCTCTTTTCCGAAAGCATTCTCCATATATAATTATAAATAAACCCACCACTTTAGCCTTTAACATTCACCGTTTAGCAAGAGATACCCTTGGAGGAGGAACAAACAAAACACACACAATCCAAATGTCACATAAGCGACAGAAATAAACTATTTACAAAAGGAACGAAACTAACAAAGATCATTATATGTCTCCGCCAGTTGATTTTGGCTTCTTCACTATCAAAACAGGGCACTTCACATTCTGTGCACAGTGATTGCTCACGCTTCCTAGGAAAGCCCTGCAATTCAACATCCAAAAGCTAAATTAGTAACTTATACAATTTACACACACAGGAAATACAAACAGACTTAGGGAGTAGCTAGGGACTAACCTCTTGATGAGACCATAGCCATGGCTTCCCATGACTAAGACATCAGCACCCAACTTTTGAACCATTTGACATATCACATCCCTCGGGTCGCCATTCTCTACCCTCGTCTCCACCTTAACCAACAACCATTATTAATATTCACAAACTCAACAGAGAAAAAAGTTGTGGAGGACACATAATCTATAATTTATAGTAATTCCTTAGTGGACAACTTAAAATGAAGTAACCTACATTTTCAAGATTGTCACACAATTTCTTAGCTTTCTCTATGACACAATCGGCCACTTGTTGGCTATACCTCTCCATGGTTGCAGTTATCTCAGACGAAAACATGTATCCTGAAACAGAAACACAGAGAGAGTTTGCCAAAGTTAACATGATCACAAGGTTAATTAAGGGTTAAGGGTCGTTTTTCCTTACCCATACCTGTACCATCGAAGGCTGAATAAACGGCACGAGGGGGCTTGACGTATAAGAGGATAAGGGTATCTTTGGAATTTTGGAAACATAGGTTTTTGAGACACCATGAGAGGGCGTACATGCTTTCCTCTCCTTCATCGACGGCCACCATGATCCGGCGTTGGTTTTCTGCCATGTCAGCCATTTGGGAGTGTGCTGATTCGTTAAGCTCTGAGATGAAAGGATAACTCAGAAAGAACACGCAAAACACTGACTGAAGTGTTGTCAGATATTGAAAATTGACCGCTCTTCTATTTAATATATAGGATGTTTCACATAACTATGTGAGATGGATAGAGTATATTATATATAGCAAAATATACTCTTATGTTGTCGCAGGAGAAATTTTTTTTTTCTAGACATACATTGATTTTTGTGTTTTTTATTTATTTTTATAAATAGGTGGGTTCCATAATAATTGTCTCTATAACATGAGATAACTTCTTTCTTTGTACTCTTATGTTGTAAGAGAGCATTTTTTTCTCCTACACATACATTGATTTTCGTGTTATTTTATTATTTTCTATTTTTTATTATAAATGAACGGGTCTTACACATAATTATCTCTATAACATGATATTGCTTCTCTCCTGTTGCATGAATTAATATAGTCCATTATATATTAATGGTGCTATTTACTTTTTTTTTGACTTGTTCTTAATGTGAGGTGACGCGAATCTTGATATATTTTCCGGAACAATGGGTTGTTTATTGAATCTGTCGGCGGATACAGGGACTGAGCTTCTGGTTTCTGGTATTTCAACACAGTGGGCCTTCAAGATTATGATTGCACACTTTAACGTTGAATAAGAAAATTCAATCTATCCATACTGGAGAATTCTATGTTAGATAACTTGTTCTTTTTAACTTGCCAGTTTCAGCCACCTCGCCTCTGTTTTTTTTTTCCTCAGCTTTCTAAATTACAAACAAGCCCACAGAATCCTATGCCCAATGGTTTCACTTTATTACTTTCAAAAAAAGAAGATAATAATATATTTTTTACAAATTATGAATATCAGGTTAAATATTATATACTTTATATAAAAATTTAAAAAATATTATTTATTAATTTTTATTACTCAATTCATAATTTTGAAAAACAATACTAAAATAACTTCATTTAATAGGTCCGAAGCTTTAACATTCAGGAGTAGGAGTGATAATCGAATTAGAGGCTTTTGGTTCGCCTTGTGAAGGCATGAGTTTATATGCCTAAAGTTGGTTGTTGAAATCAGACTTGAACTTGTATAAAAGCTCGTTTAATAAAAAGGCCTCAGGCTTCAATTCAAAAACTCGACCTTAGAGCTTTTCAGACTGGTCTAGTATATTAATTTTATTTTATTTTTTATTTTTTATACTATTTGTAATAGCCATTTCTCTTTCCTCAATCCATTCACCCTATTTTATTGATTAAATTTTTTTTTTTGAATAGTTTTATTCTATAGTATGCTATTTGGATATACATTGAATTTATGAATATTTATGAAATTACTAGTGTTGTTAATTGCACATTTTGTTTAGATAAATTTTTGTTTCTCATTTTTTTTAAACAGGCTAATAGACTAAATAAGACTTTTATTTTTTGTAAATGAGTCAGGCCACAGGCCGATACTTATATTCAGAACAAGTAATAAGCTTGATCAGGCTGACACAGGAGCTATAATTCACTTTTTTGGTTTTTGTTAATTTTTTTGGCAAAGCCGCGTTACAACTTTCATGATGTGATTAAGGCTACACGCGACATTTTTTTTTTAAAAAAAAAAAAAAACTACATGCGATAGTTATTTTCTTTCATCTTTGATTTGTTAATATTTTGTTTTGTTTTTTTAGCTTCCCCTTTAAGGCTCGTTTGATAGATAAGATATGATAAGAGCAAATAGGATAAGAGGACATGATAAGGGGAAGGATATGATATGGGCATAATAAACTCATATCTATCCCATGTTTGATGTACACTGGATAGATAGTTTGATATCTTATCATGTGTTTGAAGCCAGCCAAATAACGTCAGGATATGATAAGTAGGCAAAAATACCTTTTACAATATACTTTTATATACTTTGTTTTTTAAAAAAATTCTCTTAAATTATTTATATGTTAACTTCTATTTTTAATTATTCAAAAAAAATTAACTTCTCTTAATGAGTTGGTCAAGTATGCCAACTTCAGGAGAGCTATGCCCAACCCAGAGTTCCTTGCAGCCAAATTCCTTAGGGGATTGAATGAACAGATAAAGGAGAAGATAGCTGGGACTGGAGATCGAGACATGGCCTCTCTAATTAATCAGTGCCGAAGAATTGAGGAGATGATTCAGAGACGCAGTAGAGGCAAATCTTCTCAGCCAGTTAAGATTGAAGAAAAGAAAGCTGGAAACTCGAGTGGATATTGGAAGAAGGGTAAAGGCAAGAACTTAAGTGTGAAACCACAAAATAATAAATTCAAGAAAAATTTTAATCAAAAAGGATTCGTAGCAAAGCCGACCAACCCTCCCAAGTGTACTAATTGTGGGAAGGATCACTGGGGGGCATGTCACAATAGTCACCTCATTTGTTATAGGTGCGGTAAATCAGGTCATTATGCTAGAGATTGTTATCAAGCGGGCGGTCAGACCCAAATAGTTCAAGTCGTTACCACAGCACCAACCACGGGAAGAGTTTATACAGTTGATGCAAAAGAAGTTGAGAAGGCCCCGAATATGATTAGAGGTACCATTTTTATTGATACTTTTGACTTTAGGGTCTTGTTTGATTCAGGAGTCACACACTCCTTCATTTCTGGTCAGGTTGCTTTTGCACTTAACTTGCCTATGTTTGAATTCTCTCCTCCAATGGAGGTCACAACTGCCACGAGGGAGAAATGTCGTATTGATGTGTATTGTAAAAATGTGAAATTCATGTATGAGGGGCGTGAATACACTATCGATTTGTATTGTCTACCAATGCTAAGCCTTGAGATTATTTTGGGAATGGATTGGCTAGCTAAGTATGGTGTAATGCTTGACTGTTGTAGCAAGCGAGTCATTGTACCTCGAGACGAGGCTAATTCCACTACCTCTACCTTTACCTCTGTTTTGCAAGTAAGCAAGGCCTTGAGGGAGGGATCTCAAGGTTACATTTTTATGGGTGTTGTGGAAGAGAAGAAAAAGACGGACCTGTCTAAGATTCTGGTGGTCAGTGAATTTATTGATGTATTTCCTGAGGAAGTCACCCAGCTACCACCTGAAAGAGAGATCGAATTCTCCATTGATTTGATTCCAGGCGTAGGACCTATATCCATGGCTCCATTAGAGTTAAAAGAGCTAAAAACGCAACTTGAAGACTTGTTGTCTAAGCAATTCATTAGGCCAAGTGTTTCACCTTGGGGAACACCAGCTATATTCGTCAAGAAGAAAGATGGACCATGAGACTTTGTGTTGATTATAGACAGTTGAATAAAGTGACAATCAAGAATAAATACCCTTTGCCGCGAATTGATGATTTACTAGATCAGTTGAGGGGAGCTTGTGTGTTCTCTAAGATAGATTTACGATCCGGATATCATCAAATTCGGATCAAGCCAGAAAATATACCCAAGACTGCATTCAGGTCGAGATATGGGCATTATGAGTACCAAGTGATCCCATTTGGTCTCACTAATGCTCCAACAGTATTCATAGATTACATGAATAGGGTCTTTAAGCAGTATTTGAATCAGTTCGTTGTAGTGTTTATTGATGACATATTAATTTACTCTCGAAGGGAAGAAGAACATGGAGATCATCTAAGGATTGTGTTGAATATACTTAGAGAGAAAAAATTGTATGCTAAACCATCTAAGTGTGAGTTTTGGCTGTCTGAAGTGAAGTTCCTTGGCCATGTCATTTCTGCGGACGGTGTTGCGGTCGACCCGAGTAAGATTGAGGCAGTGATGACATAGGAGCGACCCAAGGATGTTTCTGAAATTCGCAGTTTCCTTGGATTGGCAGGGTATTACCGGAGGTTCATTCAGGGGTTCTCTCAGATGGTGTTACCCTTGACTCGCCTTACCAGGAAGGACACATCATTTGTTTGGACTCATGAATGTGAAGAATGCTTTCAGGAGTTGAAGGAAAAGTTGACAACCGCACATGTGTTGACTCTTCCTGATCCTAAGGGAGTTTCGAGGTGTATTGTGATGCCTCCAAGCAAGGGCTTGGATGTGTACTTATGCAGGATAAGAGAGTGGTTGCTTATGCATCAAGACAGTTGAAGCCACACGAAGGGAATTATCCTACCCATGATTTGGAGTTAGCAGCCGTTGTTTTTGCCTTAAAAATATGGAGACATTATTTGTATGGTGCAAAATTTGAGGTGTTTAGCGATCATAAGAGTCTCAAGTATTTGTTTGATCAAAAGGAGATAAATATGAGGCAAAGGCGATGGATGGAGTTCATTAAAGATTATGACTTTGAACTAAAATACCATCCTGGAAAAGCCAATGTAGTTGTCGATGCTTTGAGTAGAAAGTTTGTGAGCTTTGCTAGTATGATGATGGAAGACTGTAAACTGATAGAAGAATTCCGAGACATGCATCTGAACATGATTGCAGGTGATGAGAGCATTCAAATAACAGAAACAAAAATTCAAAATGAGCTGATTGAGAAGATTCAAGAAGCCTAGAGACATGATGATGGTATAGAGAAAATAATAGGGCAGAAAGATGTTTCTTGGGGGGATCATGACTTAGTACTATTTCAGGGTAGAGTAGTAGTCCCCAAGGGTCAACTAGTAGAAGAAGTTATAGCTGAAGCACACAAAGGGCGATTTAGTATTCACCCCGGGCCACCAAAATGTATCAAGATTTAAAGAAAAATTTATCTGGATTCCAAATTGAACCAATGTGATTGTACCTGCGCTTAATATCATAATGCGATGTTAACAAACCGGTTCTAGAACGGGGTGTTACACAGCCCACCTCCATCAAATCCACAACAGGCAAATGAGCTGTTGAGTAATGAAACAATGAATGCAGCAACCAGTGGCACACAAAGCAGATTATTGGCCTTCATGAGCTCACCTGGTTTTAGGCCACCAAGGTCTGCCTCAAGAAAATGACCTGCTGCTGTATATGACCTGGGAGTAGTGCATGAGCCAACTGAGAAGGGTTTATTATTATGTGACTTACTTTTTTTGAAAATTCTGGCCATTATGTATTTGGAGGCCTTATTATGTCAATGTTTTCTTTGTAAATTTTGGCCATATTGTATTAGAGGCCTTTCTTTTAATTCCTGACAGTTGGCTTTATTTTGTAATGCACTATTGTACATCCATGTCTTCAAATATAATGATACTCAAATCATGTTCAAGCTATTATGTTTCACAGGGTTGATGAATGTTTAAGTTTACCATTTTTGATGTTTTTTAACTAATATACGTAGTTGTAGTTCTTGTACATCCATGTCTTCTGGTTTTTCTATGGTTAGGGACCAATAAGGGCCCCGTGCTTTTTGTCAAGGACTAAAAACGTCCTTGTGCATTTTGAGAGGGACCAAAATGGCCCTCGTGGTTTTGACAGGGACCAAAACATCATCGTCTCGTCTTCCACGGTGTCTCACATCTAAGCCGCGTCAGCAAACTAACGTGCCAACTGTGCACCGTTAGTTGGGCCGTTAGGTGGAAGTTAACAGAAGGATGAACATGACATCTTTTTTATTATTTCAAGGATCAATTTGTCCTTTTTTTATTGCGAGGGACTGAAAAAGACTTTGTGAATATTTCGAGGGTCTAAAAAGGATATTTAGTCTAAATATAATTACAACTACTATCATTATAGCCTTATCCAGTACACCGCATACCTATATTGGAATAAAAAGAAAATTCCCTTGTTTCGGACATTGGAAGAAAAATCTTATATCGTATAAGAATAAAAAGTTTTGTATCAAATTTTATCATTGATTTAGTTAATGACTTAAATATTTAATAAATTAAAACTATTAAATATAAATAGAATCAACTAAGAAAATTAAAAATGTAACTTTAACCAATGTGAAATCATCCTGACTCTATTAACATATTAAAATTGTCATTTTCTTTCACTTATTTTGTCAATCAAACTCAGCTCTTTTTGAGTTCACATCTTAATTACTTTCATAAGCTTCGATTGTTTGACCGTCTTTCTCCCTAATTGTATAATATAAACTCATCCATCTCCTTTGAATAATTTAGTAATGGGTTCGCTTTATTTATAGTTAATGTAGATAATAGGTTAGATTATATATTCAATTTTTATTTGTATAAAAAAAATAAAAATTATCAAGCTTAATTCGGGTTAGGTAAAAAACTACGTCCACCAAACCCTAACTGGCTGAGCCGGTTACCAGTCTCTCCCCATTGTTCGACCCCCACAGTCCCACTGCTAGATAGTAGATACATCAAAATCAAATTGTTGCAGCGAACCTAACACTAAAAGATCATACAATCCTTCATCTCTCTCTCTCTCTCTCTCTCTCTCTCTCTCTCTCTCTTCACTCTGTTTTTGGGGTTAGATCTTTTGTACTGAAAACTTTTGAGCTTTGTTTGAGTTTTGAGAGATTGATATTTATCGGGAGTGGAGTAGTATTCAGAATCGATCATAAAAGGCGATGTTTTTGTTTGATTGGTTTTATGGGATTCTAGCATCGCTTGGGTTGTGGCAAAAGGAGGCCAAGATCTTATTCTTAGGTCTCGATAATGCCGGAAAGACTACCTTGCTTCATATGCTCAAAGATGAGGTTTCTCATCCACTTTACCCTTTTTTCTTTTTCTTTTTTTCGTTTCGTCACTGTCATTCTCCTTTTCTGATTATTTGTGTGTTCATTCGTCAGAAACGGCCGTTAAACCGTTCTGTATATCTCCCTGCCCTCGCAGTGTGAATTGCTTTGTGCTTGGAATAATTATAAATGCTGTATTAATTGCTTGGGATAATATTTATTCGGAATTAAAATGCTTTTTGTACAATTTAAATATGAGATGGAGTGTTTCAAAAATGGTTACATGGCTAACTGGATATATTCCTGTATATTGACATGATTTGGTCTATCTTTTCTTTGACATCAAACGTCTTTTTAAGTTTTTTTTGGATTTTGTTTATTTTTTTTCAACAATTATTGTGGTTTTGGCAAGCTTGACACATTGACAGCAATTGGCTATATTCCTGTATATTACCATGGTTTATTGTGGTTATATTATGGTCCTGATTTTTGGTGTGATGTTTTTATTATGGGAATTGGTTTGGCAGAGATTAGTCCAGCATCAGCCAACACAGTATCCAACATCGGAGGAGTTGAGTATTGGGAAGATCAAGTTTAAAGCTTTTGATCTCGGGGGTCACCAGATTGCTCGAAGAGTCTGGAAAGATTACTATGCCAAGGTCTCTCTCTCTCTCTCTCTCTCTCTCCAAAGACACACACACACACACAAACTCACACTTTTGTGCGCATATTTGCAAGTGCATCCCAAGAGGGAGTCTAATGCAAGTCAATTATGCACTTTATGAAAACACATGATTGGATGCCACTTAGCTATGATAGATATATTAGGAATTAAGGATTAAGTCTTGCTTTCCAATATAATATAGTTTTTGTGTACATGCTAATATGCGGTGATCATGTTGCAATTGCAGATATTAAGCTGCACAACAGGTTCGACTCAAAATGTGTGAACTTGTAGTTTTCGCTGTTAGCTATTACAAAGTTTTCTCCCTATTCTCATTGCAGGAATTGCACTATAATGATCAAGTTGTTAATTAAAATTACTCTCCAGTTGCGGAATATTCTAATATATTGTAGAACTGTTATCTATTAAGCTGTGTATGGCTAGAGCTAAGTTAAAGGATTGCTGCCTTCATAATCCCAGCTAAACGGTTATTGTTTATCTGATTCATGGGAGGCAGAAATTTTACATGGTAATTCGCTGATAGTGCCTTTTCTCTTTAGAAGGTTGCTAATAGTATGTTATCAGACATAGCTGCTTCAGAAGCAATATTTCCTATAGAATCTCATTGGGCATATTATACACTTAAATCAAGGGTTACTCGGATACTCATGCTTTAATAATCTTTGGCATGAGAAGCCGGCATCATTTTGGGAACTCATGCTTTAATAATGCTACCTTTTTCTTTTTTTTCCCCTCTTTAGAAGGGCTACTAACAGTATCTCATTAAAAATATTGATTCTCCTAACAAATCTAGCATTCTCAGAAGTTGGTTTCTTTTTTTTCTTTTTTCTTTTTTGGTAATTAAGTTGGTTCTTAGTTGTTTCTTGCATTATTGTTCTCAAGCATTAAATGTTTATGATTTGGTACATGCAAGTATGTACATGCAAGTATGTACACTCAAGTAGTTCTCTTGCTTGAGATTTATTTTTTACTCTCTCTCTTGTTACTTTAAGATGATCTAGAGTAAGCTTCATCTTTCTTTGATGCAGGTAGATGCAGTGGTCTACTTGGTTGATGCTTATGACAAGGAAAGATTTGCTGAGTCAAAAAAAGAGCTAGATGCTCTCCTCTCTGATGATTCTCTGGCTACTGTCCCTTTCCTTATTCTTGGGAACAAGATCGACATTCCATATGCTGCCTCAGAAGAAGAGTTGCGTTACCATTTGGGCCTGATCAATTTCACAACAGGCAAGGGTAAGGTAAATTTGTCAGATTCTAATGTCCGTCCTATGGAGGTATTCATGTGCAGTATTGTGAAGAAAATGGGTTACGGAGATGGTTTCAAATGGCTCTCTCAATACATTAAATAGTTCATTAGTATTTAGTAAAATATAGCTTGGTATCTCATTAGAAGTTTATTCCTGTAGTTATGAATTGTAGGTGTTCTTAGTTCAAATAGCTGTGAGAGAAATTGCAGTATATTTCAGATATATTTTTTGCGATAATGACTGAGACACCGCTCCCTCTTTCATTAATCCATCGTATCATTTGCTCCGAAGAAAAAGAGAGGGCTATGATCTATACAGGAGAACACTTTTTCAACATCTGTACAACAAAAAAAGCACAAATGTTCTTGCAGATAGTTGTTTGAGATTGTGAGACAAATCATAAAATCTATCACACGAAACAATGTTTCGCCGCAATTTTTTAAACATTAGCTTCTCTATAATTATACTTCAAAAGTAATTTTAATTTATCATTCAAATAAAATTAACTTTTGAAATACTATTTGTAAAAATAAGTTGACATTAATTTTTTTTTAATTTTATCTATATCAATTGTTTTTAAGGTAATTATTTTAATATTTAAATCTAATGGATTCTTAATAGGTGTTTAGTAATCAATTAATTATAGAAATTGACATTTTTTTTTCAATTTTTGAATATGAAAGTTACAAAAAGTGTTTTTGTTTTCAAATATGTTAATCTAAACACATTGTTATCTGTATCGTAGTCTGATAAACCAGAATTGCTGTGGCAAAAATCGCAACCTCTGTTTATATCAATAGACAACCTCTGTTTTTCCTTTATCATCAGTGACCTACATTAATTTTTGTGAGTTTATAAGGGGAATATACATGTGCGTATCATTTTTTTGAAAATTTTAATGGAGAAACAGAGCTAGAAGCAAAAGGTGATAGTGGGACTGAGGATCTAATACGTCAATGCAAAACTACTAACCACAAGCTGAAAACTGTCTAATTTCCGTCAAGACGTGGATTCTTATCCTATCACACGCACACAGCTTTCAGCTATATATTTTCAGTTAAGACAATACAGAACAACTAACCATATAGCTGAAAACTGTGTATTTTCGGTCACGACATGGATTCTTCAGTTAAGTCAAGGCAAAACAACTAACCACATTTGAAAACTGCTTATCTTCAGTCAATACATGAATTCTCTTAATATGTAAAAGCATGATATGCAAATAAAGAAAAGTTTGATACGATTTAATTATAAGATAACATTGTGATTTTTTTTAAAAATTTGATTTAATAAAAAGACTTGAAACCCTTTAGTATATAAAGATAATAATTTTGAAACTGAAATTCTTAAAAGTAGAAAGTAAATATACGTAGGCCTTATTGATGATTTTGAGGAAAATTTCTTCAATGCAACGAATTCGATCCTCCTTTTTCCTAAAAAAGGATTTTTTTTTTTTATTTTTACTCAAGTTTTTCTTTATATCCCAAAATTTTACCTCTTTTGGTATGAATGTACCTATATCCGCTGAAGGTTTTCTCGATTTTGAGCAGCTTCTTATGTATTTTAAATCAGTGCAAAATCCAAATTGAGCTTTTATTTTCTTGAATAATTAGACACGTTTTATGCATGTACCATCATATGCATGTACAATTTTCATCACCAAAAACAATTTTTTTAGCCCATAAAAATCGCGGCTAGTAAGGGCCCCAGAAAAATAAGAACATGCCCATCAATTTACAATTATATTTTTTTTTTTTTGGTAAACAATTTACAATTATCTTTAACATGTTCTCATTTTACTTTTTTAAGATAATAAAATAAAAAAGCAATATTTCAACATTTTCTCTCTTTAAATTTATTTTTTTCAATAAAACAAGATATAAGGATGGTGTATAAATATTGATGCGTAGGTAACAAAGCCTAACAAAATAGGAAGTAGATGAATTGTTTACTTTTGAATTATCTAATATTAAATTCCAAGTCTTTGTTTTTCACAGTCAGATTATTTGGCCTGTATCCATCTTCTTGTGATTTCAATGAAATGACACATCATCTTAAATTCTTAAGCATTCATCAAAATTCTTGGATTTGCTCGTCTTAAATTCTTAAGCATTCATGAAAGTTGTTAGATTTATTTGGGTCAGAGGTTCAAATTTGGTCCCAAGCAAGCAAATTTTTGAAAAAAAATTTAGGAGCCATAGAACGTGTCTCTCCTTAAAGGAGAATTAGTTTCATCCTTCTTCCGGTAACAAAGTTTAATGCATAAGGGTAGCTTTCAGAAATAAGGTGATGAATGGGGATACCCGTTATACCAAAAAAAAAAATTCTTAAGCATTCATTGCAAACGTTTATCATTTCTATAGGTTACAAAAATAACACGGATTATGTTAAATTTTGGCTGTTAATCAAGAGAAATGTGGCTTAATACTTCAACAAATGGGGATGTAGCTCAGATGGTAGAGCGCTCGCTTAGCATGCGAGAGGTACGGGGATCGATACCCCGCATCTCCAATTCATTTATTCTTTTTTCTTTTTTCTTTTTTCTTTTTATTGAAGTGATTATTTCTCTACATTCTTTTAATTCATTGATTTTATTTTTTGTATCAGTCGATTTGTCTGCATCCGTTACCTATATAAACTGGTGCTATTCGTTCACCAATCTCTGATTCACTTTCTTCTTTCCTATTACTATCCAGTTACAACTTGATCATAAAGACAAACAACTGAGGAATTAATACCGACCTCATCCCATTCATATTAAGTGCTTTCTAGTAATCTTATTCAATCTTACGTACATGTTCATAAATCAAGAATTTAATATTTATTTAAAGTATATCTACGCATAATTTCATTTTATAATATTTAAAAAAGACACGGACGATGGAAATTGGAATGTTTCCTATTTACTATGTATGGTAGAGTAGAGATTTCTAATGAAAATACCAGGGGTAAGAATCTTATGTCATTGAGCATGTGTTCACACTGCCACGTGTCTACTCTTCTATGCTTTTCCTGAACAGTCTAAAATCTCGTCCTGCCTATAGTGTGTAGACTGTCCTAGATGTTTCTCATTGTTTCTTGTTCTCGTAAAATATCAAGAACAATCTAGAAAACTAGACTCTGATCGAGCCTCTGCTATATATAACCTTAACGTTTAGTTTTTTACCTCCAACAAACAAAGAAGATATACGAAACAATACATTATCTGACTTAATTTTCTGCAGAATGGCTTCTACATTTAGAAATATGATGTCTTTTCTGTTTGTGGTTGTAGCATTGTCCCTTACCGTTAGCACAACCAATGCCTTAATGCCGTACACGAGAACCCTTTGGGACATGATGCTCCAATCTGATGATCCCTTCAGAATTCTGGAGCAAACCCCACTCAACATCCCCAAAGGCCTTGAAACTCTGGCTTTGGCGCGTGCTGACTGGAAGGAAACCTCGTCTGCACATGTTATAGCTCTGGATGTTCCGGGGTTGAAGAAAGATGATATAAAGATCGAGGTGGAAGATAACAGGGTGTTGAGGATCAGTGGGGAGAGAAAGGCAGAGGAGGAGGTTGATGGTGAGAAATGGCACAGAGCTGAGAGGACTAATGGCAAATTCTGGAGGCAATTCAGAATGCCAGGCAATGCAGACTTGGATCATATTAAGGCACATCTTGAAGATGGGGTGTTAAGAATCATGATGCCCAAGATTGCTGAGGACAAGAAAAGACAGCCTAAAGTTATTAACATTGCTCAACAAGAATCTAATGCCGAGGATATCAAAGCTACCAAGGCTGCAGTGTGATCTGAATCAATAATATTCAGCTGTTTCGTTTCAACTTTTTTTTTTTTGTTCCCCCCTTCACGTGGAGTGAATAAATTACATGTTGATCTTGGATATAAGAGTGAATGAAGTTGCTTCTATTGTATCTAATTACAAGTTAGTTTCGTATGTGGTGTCTAATACAATAAACTCTTTTTAAAGTACTAAGATGGCTCCTGCAAATCATTGTCCACTTTTGTTCTCTTAACGTTGCATTATATTAGAAGTGTTAACGATGCCCAGCATCTCCAAACCTTTCTTTTTGAGTGTTCATTTCTTTCTAGTTTTTCCTGAAACCAATGACAGAATCTTCTTATAGGAATGCCTAGCCGACGAATATATAATGGCAAATCTATTATCTATCCTGTTGTATGTATGACTTAATTGAGGTTCTCAAGTCGCATACTCAACTAGTTAGATAAGAAGCTCGAGTTGGTGACTAAATATTGATTAATATATTGCTTAACTTATTGTGTCAGTGAATTTGTCCGCATCCGTTACCGATATAAACTGGTGCTATTTGTTAACCAACCTCTGATTCATTTTCTTCTTTCCCATTATTAGACCTTTGTGAGGTGGCCTACTGTATTCAGCTCATATTACCACTTTGCTTACCAAACTGCTAGTAATCAATACCAACGTCATCACATTCATATTAAGATCAGGCATTTGCTTTCCCCTAATGCACTCAATTCTGTTTCCACAAGTCTATACACATGACATTTGCACTCATGCTAAAGGGAAATTTATTCATCGTTGGTTTAATTTCCATTGCAACATTCTGCTGCTACTCAGGTAATTTTGGCTTCAACCAAGTTATCTTTCTAATAATTTACTCTGTGCACTAGGGATTCTGATATTTACAATTGTGATGGAACATGTGTATGCGTGAATAATAATGAACAGAGGCTGCAGAAGGGAAGCTGCAGGGGCAGAGCATGGAAGAGGCCTTATCGTGCTTTGACAATAAGCTCGTAAGTAGTAATAAATATTTGATGGCATTTGCTGGAAGCATGTGGCTTTATGTTAACATCTTTTTGGCTGTTTTTAAATCTTTCACAGATTTATGTTGGGTGTGAAGAAGCATATAGATTAGATCCATCTGGGAATATCAACATACCTCCGGAGGCAACTGATATTTTCTGTAGTGGACCGTGCCTAACCGAAACACAGCTAATGCTTAATTGCATTGATAACATACTCTCCAATTTCATATTCTACAACAAAGCCACTGTACAACAGATGAGATATGCACTGAACGCTGGCTGCAGCTACTCCAGACAAAGAGGTCAGGATGCTAGTTATTTTCCACAGAGATGTATAATATCAGATTTAACTTCCTTTCCATTTTTCCTTCCTTTTTAAAAAAAAATATTTCTGTTTGAACAAAATGTAAGCTACGTGCAGGGAATTTCAATTTGGGAGACTACATTGGAGAGATAAACAATGCTGGCAAGTTACCAATTTTGATTAGATCCTATCACTTCATCCTAGCAGCAGCAGCGGTTTATGTAATGTGAGATGATGTTCTAGCAGTAAGAAACAGATATACTCATTTGACTTATTTACAAGTTTCAAAAGGATAAAGCTTCCTTGTAAGGTGCATGGTATTGTATTGTCAATCTGAGGAAAAACTTCCATTTCAAATGAAATACTACAGTTAGTTAGTGCATTTCTGTATGGATCAACAAAATATCAAACGCAATTACATAAGGGTACTAAAAAATCCTATATTACTCTTTCGGTGTCAGATACTTTAAACTAGTTGGACTCTGCTTTATCTTAAAAGAATTTAAATCGTCCACCAAAAAATATAAATAAAAAGAAGAAACACTTGCCAAAAATATAAGCTACTTTTCTGTGCGCTCTTGAACCAATCCCTACATCCAATTTTGAGTTCGACTTATCCAGACCATTGGTTCCTTTCTAGTTGAAAGCCATGAAATGTTAGAAATGTCCGGAATTGGTTTGATTGGTATTTCTTTTGTAATATACTATAAATTAGATTGGTGGCATCCTCCAATCTTCAGGACGCAATACTTTGTTTATGTCACATTTTGGGTCGACCAAAAGACGAAGCTATTCCTTGCGACTATCCTGTTGCACTCTGCCCTGGAACTTTCTTGATGCCGCCTCCTCGCATCAATACTCTAACTTTTTCAACTTCATCCCATTTCCCTTCTTCTGCATAAATGTTTGACAACAACACATAATTTCCAGAATTTCCTGGTTCAAGATTAATGAGCTCTTTTGTTGCAGTTTCTGCAATTTCCCTGTCACCATAAGTACGACAAGCACTAAGCAGTGCACCCCATAAGGCAGCAGTTGGCTTCATGGGCATGCTTCTAATCAAGTCATGAGCTTCCCTCACATGCCCACAACGCCCAAGTAGGTCAACAACACAGCCATAATGCTCCAGTTTTGGACAAAGCTGAAACTTTACAGTCATAGAAGCAAACAGTTCACGCCCTCTATCCACCAAACCTGCATGAGCACAACATGCCAAAACTCCTACAAAAGTGGAGTCAGAAGGGGTCATGCCTTCTCGTACCATCTCCTCAAACAAGTCAACCCCAACTTCACCCTTTCCATTATACGCCAAACCCGATATCATTGCGTTCCAAGAAACAACATTTTTTCGAGGCATCTCATTGAAAATGCTCCAAGCAACTTGCAGATTACCACATTTACAATAGAAATCCACAAGCGAATTTCCCACGGCAATGGCGTCTCTCAGGAACCCCTCGGCATTTGCGTAAGAGTGGATCCACTCCCCAACATCCAAAGCTCCCAGGCGAGCACAGACAGGCAGCACCGTGACCAATGAGGCCTCATCTGGTTCAAAACCCTGCTCCAACATTTCACGAAAAATATCAAGAGCTTTCTCATCCTTCTTACTCTGCGCTAGGCAAGAAATCATGAGATTCCAAGAAACCACGCTCCGTTCCTTCATCTGTCTGAAAAGCTTCAAACCCTTGTCCAAATTACCCAACTTGCAAAACCCACGAATCATCAAGTTCCAAACAATCACATCTCTCTCACGCATTTCGTCGAACGCCTTGTTAGCATCCTCCATTCTCTCGCAACACACATACAACTCCACAATCCCAACACGAACGGAACCGTGGCGTGCGAACCCAAGTCTAATAATATGGGCATGAACACACTGGCCGAGTTTGTAGTGAGAGAGATTGGAAATGGACTTGAGCAAAGGGGCGAAAGTGTACTCATCGGGGAAAATGCCGCGGTTCTTCATGAGGGAGAAGAGGTGAAAGGATTGGTCGAAGGGTGAGCATAAAGAATAGCCTTTGATCATGGAATTGAAGAGGAGAATGTTGGGGTTTTGGGTTTGGGTGAAGATGCGAGTGGCGTATGGCATTCTGTGCAGAGCGCCACAAACGGAAACAAAGTGAGCGAGGATTTGGTTGGATTGGTGAAGGCCATGTCGGAGGAAGTGGGCATGGATTTGGGTGAGTTGAGTTCGTGTGTTGCCACCGTGAAGGAGACGTAGAATTTTGCGCTCAATCTCTCTGCTCATTGGGATTTGATGATTTCAAGTTGAACAACATAACACCTCTTTCTCATATCTCAACTCAGCTTCACTTTTTAGTTTTAGACACAAATGAACTCCATCAATGCCGTGACTACTCGTACACAATAAAGACGTTTGGACATGTTAATATAGTTGAAAAGGCTTGGAGGAGAATTGAGAACTGTAGGTACAATTAAGGTTCATCACTTTATTTCATCAAGATAGGGTGTTTGGTCTAGTGGTATGATTCTCGCTTCGGGTGCGAGAGGTCGCGAGTTCGATTCTCGCAACACCCCGTTAAGGTTATTAATTTTAATGTGAATTGGTTAAAAGAAAGCCAAAAAATAATAATTAATTTAATTGCTGTTGACGGGTTTCAAAGGCTTCAGCTAAATCCGATCCTCTTTTCGTTATCTTTGTGATTGATTATGTTAGTGCCTTGGAATCAGGTGGTGACATTGTGTTTCTTTCAAGTAATCTTTTTTTGGTAAATGTAATTATCATGTTTGTTAGAAGGAATAAATTACGATTACCGGATATCCAAGAATTACCGGTAATTTGATTTATAAAGAAAAGTCACTATTCAGATTACCAAAAATAATATAGTAATTCAGAATATCAAGTAAAGGGAAAGCATAACAATAAATTTTGAGACAAAAATATCCCAATACACATAAAAATCTAGACCCAATCTATCAATTACAAAAGTAAAAATAGTTTGGGGTTATTTTTGTAAAATAACCTCATATTCCAAGTCATATTTCGTTCTAAACCAAATATGGAATCAGTAATTTTTACCCAATATTCCCGGTAATATTTTGGCAAACCAAACACCTCTTTCGTAAGATTCCAAATAAACTCAATTTCTACTGTATTCCCATTAATCATGATTTCCGGTCACCAAAAAATTTCTCTTGTACCAAACACACCCTTAACTATACTTCATGGGAAAAATCCTTATCTTTTTAAAAGATATAATTTTGTGTCATTTTAAATTTTAATCATTGATTTTCATAAATTAACTATTAGAATTTATTGATTTTTATTACGAATTACTAATTAATTAATAAATTTGACCCAATAAAGCTTAATCATTGATTGACGGGAAGTTATATCCTTTAAAAGGATAATTATTTTTTCTGCAGTCGATATAATTAAGTTATCTAATTATAATTTATTACAGGGTTATAATAATTTTTTCATTTTTTTTTAATTTTTAACCCAAAATAATATCATTTTTGGTGTGAAGTAGATAGTTTATCTACATTTACTGCAGTCAATATATATATATATATATATATAATGTTTCTCATGTTATAAAAGATAATTTATCTCATATACACACATAAAAGTGTGTGGGGGTCATGTTAAGAGGAGAAAAAATATGGGTCCCACACATTGTTATGTATATAAGAGATAAAATTATCTCATACAACATAAGAAATATTAATCCCTATATATATATATATATGAAAAAGATGTTTCTATCACGGGAAATAATATTTATCTCATGTAATTCTAAAACAACATCGTTTTGGGGTTTAGGTTTAAACATAAAGGATATTTTGGAAATTTTATACTTTTCTTTATATCATTAATTTTACTAAAATACCGTTTATTTTAATTTTTAACCCAAAACTAGGTCATTTTGGGGTTGTATGATATAATTTTATATCTTGTGACAGAAGAAAAGTTAATTCTTATATATATAGGGGCAGAATCGTTTGATATCACTATCAAATTTAAAGTTCCACAGCTTATCAGAGAGTCGTCAGATCAAAAAAATCAACAACTTTAACTTATAAGCATATGTCACCGTTAATCTTTTTTTATCTAACAGCTCTTAGATGAGATGTCACACTTTTAGTTTGACCTATGGTATTTTTTTATCTCATATATCGCTGTTGTTTGTAAAAATTAAAAAATCACATGGACATGTCTGATAAAAAAAAAATATCCTTTCACAAAGCAACATGTACGATAAAAAAAGCCATGTAACAAAATACAGGGAATTGGTAAACTATTCCCTTGTATTTATGGTTTTCAATTCATGCACACATTGTTCTCCCCAGTTTACCTTAGTATTTTTATTTTTACTTGTAATAGTTTACCTTAGTATTTGATGGCAACTGAACTGAAATTGCCTTTTCAATGTCAGGCGTGGACACTGAAAAAACTTGCATCCGGGTATGGAATATGTAAGAACCCGCACCGTTAATTAAGGAATTTAATTAATAAATTATGAGAAAATAGGAAATGATTCCATAATTGACCCTAATAATTATTATGAGGCTTTAATAATTATAGTAATTGAGTAATAATGCTGAAAGTCGCTTTTCAGAAGAAAAGTGAAGATACCGGTTCTGCTAGTCGGTATAAATGCGTACCGAAAAAGTATCCCGAAAAATTAATGTAAGTGCATGATAATTACTAGAATACTATGTAGGACTTGTAAAACGAGTTTCAAGTCCAAATAATGAGAAATGGTGCTAGAAACCGGTACTGGCTTGGAAAAGCGCGTACTGGAAAGGTGCTCAGAAAATTATAAGAAAAATATGATAATTCTTTGAAAAATGTGTAGTTTCAGAATCCAAAGTTTGGGATTAAAATGCTAAGCGTAGCAATTAAAGTTAATACTGTGTGTTTAATTGTTAAGTGTCTATATATAGGCTTGTTAGCACAAAACCCTAGGCCATAACTCATTCTCTACGTGAGTCTTCAGGCTGGCTAACTGCTGAGTACTGTTCCATTGTGTTCCTCTTCCATTTCTTGAGCTTTGAGGCAACTTCCTTCACAAATCCTTCTCCTAAACACTTGGTGTGGGGTGAGAGTAGCTTTGAGGCTGTGTTGTTGACCCTGTTCTGTGTTGGGGTTGCTGTTTGTGAGTGTTGGAGGGGCTGTCCTCTTGAGTTGAGGTGGTGAGAGTCTTGTTCTTGGCTTGTGAAGCTCCAAGAAGCTTCCTTTGTGTGGAAATGGCCAAGCTTTGGTAGCATTTTCGAGTACCTTTCAAGTGAAACTTGGAGAGGCAGAGTGTGGAGCTTTACTTCTGAGTTTTGAGCCTTGGTATGTTGTACCAACCTTTAACTTGAGTTTTATGGCTTAAAAACGGTACCTTGATGCATCTAATGGCTAAAAGATGATAACTTGTTGTTGGGTAATGTTGAACACACCTAGAATTGCATGTTTAGGTGTTTAAAATCGGTAAAAACCCAACCTTGGAAGGATATCTTCACGAAATGCAGTTTCTGCATTCTGTCGTGAAATATCTGGATATGTGCCCGAACAATATCCGGATATTGGATATCCGGATATGGGATTTGGACATCCGGATATTAGATATCCGGATATGGGATTCTGGATATCCGGATATTGCATATCCGGATATGTCCAGTGAGATATCCGGATATGGCATATCCGGATATGGTCCCGAGGAATATCCGGATATTCTGGGATTTCGTAGAACAGTAGCTGTGCTGTGTGTACAGTAGGCTATTGGGGGTTTGTGGACCCTAGATTGATGAAGTTGAACTTCTGTAATTAATGAACTAAGTCAGAATCGTTGTGATTAAGGACTTATGGCTTGGTATGGAGCCTTAAGACGTAAAACGTAAGGAAAGACGTTGTCTTTAATTTATAGGCTTGTGTTGCATTATTATTGATATAGTATTGGTCCATAACAGATTGTGAATCTGCTGTGTTTTGACTTTGAGCTGTGGACTCTTGGCTTTTGGAGTTAGCTTGCAAGGTAAGCTTTCGTGTCCTCGGTTTAGCCATGTTGTGGTTCCACCATGTCCCGTTGGGGGTATGGTTGTATGCATGCTGTGTTACATGCTTTGAATATTTGAAATGCTGTTGAGCTTTATGTGTAATGGCTTTTAATATGCATGTGTTGTTTCATCTTGACGGTAACCTGAGTATGTAGCGTCATACGAGATGGTGATCCGGGGTGAATGCAAGTAGCGTCTTGCACTAGTGTGGGTATTTAGCGTATGTAAATCCTGCATTTCTCTGGCCAGTAGAATAGAATTGACATACATGGCATGATTATCTGCTACATTGCACTGTTTTAGAACTGATGATGATATCTGCTTTTAAAAAACTTATATTGCACATGTAAGTGAGCTTGGGGTGGAAGATCCTTGAGGACCCCTCGTCTTACTGAGATTTCTTGTTTAGAGATCTCACCCCACGTTTGGGGAATGCTTATTTCAGGTTCTGGTAGTTTGGTGACTGATGCCTCTGGTGGCAGGAGGCCAAAGCTTAGTTGATGATAGTATGTTGTTTGCTGCCATGACTGGATATGGATGTTGTTTATGTTTTCCGCTATTTATGTTTATGTTGTTATTGAGACTGATGTTGGGCATGTTGCCTTATTTGAGTGAGCATGGGGATTGTCCATGACACTGTATGTTAGTGCTTTTGATTTGGAGTTGTATAAACTGTTAGATGGTCCGGTCTACGTTGTTGTAGTTCCGTGACTAGAGCCACACTTTTATTATCTATGATTATGAGGTATTTCAGTTAGCTGTTTTATTGCAATTACATACAGACGATGTTTTATTAATTGATTAATAAGCAAGTTGGTAATGATAAGGACATCATAATTGGAAAGAAAAAGATATTCTGCATTTTTAATTAAGCGTTGCTTAATACGATAGTATGATAACATTACCGGATATATACGGGGTGTTACAGAATACTTGGAAGAAGTTTTAGAAAAGTGAATTACGTTTTGATTGGGAAGGTTAGTTATGTTCTTGGATCTCCTCAAAACCTATCCTCTCTTGTACGATGATTTGAATTTGGCTCAGGCTTTCACTTTTTTTTTCCTTTCTTTCATATTTTACTAAATAGTGGGTGGATATTTAATTTGAGGAGGGATATTCTTACTACCAAAATTTTCTACTACCAACTCACTACCTATCTAATCACTATTGGATTAACATTTTCTCTTTTTTCAAAAACTTTTTAGCATTCTTTCTCCTTGATTCAATGGTGATTAGATAAGTAATAAGTTAGTAGTAGAAAATTTTAGTAGTAAGAATATCCTCTCTCG